CTATGTCAAGCTAGTATTATGATGTGAAAAAAAACAATCAATGAACTTTTAGAGACAGGGACAACAAACCACTTGGGTGTGTATTATATAAGTCAAGTGTGAATACTGCGAAAGTGTATAAGTGTAAGTGAGATGATCTGTGTAGCTTTGTTGCTGACTAAGACACTGTTCCCTTAGTCAGGACATCTTGTATCTAATTGTTACGCATTTTTATATCAAAATACCAAGTAAGATAAAAACAAACTTACTGTCGCAAGCACAGTCTTCATTTCAGCATGCATATCCTCCTCGGAAAATAAACTATGCTCTTTTAAGATGTTGCTGTATGCTTCTGGTAATGTCATTAGACCTTCATTTCCTAAAAATATTCCAAAGTATATTACCTAGATTTCTAATACGATTTTTAAAATTATTTTAAATGTCAAGCGATTTGCAGATCCTCTTAGTTATAGTTAGTAAGCCGAACAACGATTATTTTAAAAAGCTATGAATTATATAGCTACGCATGAAACATAAAGTTACTATGACACCTAAACTAAAGTATGATATAGCTTGGTATAATATCAAAAATATATATGCGACATAAATTGAGTTCACAACAAACCATTCGGAGAAATATCTTGAAAGTAGATCTAAAAAGAAGTGTGATAATATATTAAATATTATATTTTCAAAGCTTTAAAACTGTGTATATCGCCTGACACAGTAATTACAAAAGTAATTTCTAAGCTGGTATAGTAATTTTAAGTATCCAAGTTATCCTAACAAGTGAAAAGCTTTAAAATGTATCTTTAAAAAGTATGGACATTGTAATACGCTTTTTGACTCTAAGTCTCATTTAACTTAGATGTAAAATTTTATTTTGATAAAATTCTGTAGGATAAAATGGTATTTAACAAACAACTAAAAAAACAAATTGGTTCTGTATGGAATATGATTGTAGATTTTTCTAGTATCAAATTTTATGTGTTTACGTCTGGGACATAGACAATTTTAGTTATCATTTTTTGTTTGATAGCTAACTTATTTTTATTTCGTATTTTTCATATAAAAAAGGATTTAAATTAACATACCTTGCCATTTTAAATGCATACATAAAGAGTTGGTTTTAGATTTCTGGTGAAGGTGAAAATAGTCCTAAGAGGGGATTTTTAGCAAGTACACACTTACATGATCTCTGAGGGACCCCATAGAGTACCTCCTTTAAGTGGACAAGGAGTAAACAGTTAACATTTGCATGATATACTATCAAGCAGAATTCTATAGGTGTGACTTTAGTTAGTAAACTCAATGGATGAACCTTGCTGACCCTATCTATTTAGTTTGGATAGTGAATTGGGTCGGAACAACATAATTTTTAATCTAAATTTAAACCCTTAAACTTAACATTTTTTCATTACTGATTGTGTGGCTGTCACTTAGCTTTAATTGAAGAATATTGGTTTAATTTCAGACCATGGCTCTCAACCAAATTCATTAATTTTTACAATTGTGCTGTCAAGTTAATTAGAGTTCACTTACGTTCTTCAAACAAGCAGTACTGCGACCTACATAAAAATTGAAAGTATAGGTATTTGTGCTAAAGCAATTGGGCAAGTTAAAGCATTCCGGACGGGCGAAATCGTGACATAGAACGGGGAAAATTTTAGGAAAAAATAAAAATAAATTTCCTTATATGTGGTTTGTTATACAAGTATACATAAAATAAACACAATGGAACACTTCATACTGTCAAAATAATTGTTTACTTTTTTTAACTATACGGATATATCCGCTACCTGTCCGCGGATGAGTAGAAAAGCAGCGAATATATCCGCCACCCGTCTTTGAAGATATGACCATGATAACGTTAGGCAATAAATAAAGAACAATATATAAACAATAAATAAAGACAACGTAGTGTTGAGAGCGAAGCGTTGAGGGGTAGGAGCGTAGGAGAGGTACGTGGTGCGCGGGAGAGGGGGAAGCGCAGGAGAGGGGTAGGCGCGAGTGAGAGGGGGGAGTGTGGGAGAGAGGAGGGAGTGTGGGAGAGAGGGTGGAGTGTGGGAGAGAGGGGGGAGTGTGGTGGAGTGTGGTGGAGAGGAGGGAGTGTGGGAGAGAGGGGGGAGTGTGGGAGAGAGCGCAACCATGGAGAGAGTAGGGAAATGGCGCCTTGGTACCACAAAACATCTGGTTACTGCTGAAGCACCTGCCAGTCTGTCTGAAGAGAAGGCAAAGGATATATCCGCTTCCCGTCCGGAACATCAAATACCATAAGCGGATATATCCGCCACCCGTCCTTTATCGCCAAAGACTTAGGCGGATATATCCGTCACCCGTCCAGGAAGGGTTAATATATATAATAAATCAAATAAAGGACCAAAGTATGGAACCTTGTGGAACACCGTCTCTAACCCTGGCCCAGTTACAGTAATATTTTATTGAATTGCTTGTTACTATTGTGCATCAATTGTTTTGAATGAATAGGTAAGACTGTAATAACTCTAGAGCCATTCCCTCCAGGCCAATATTTTTTTATTTGACCATCAGTATAATAGTGACTCATGGTCCACACAGGGAAAAGCCCTGGATAGGTCATAGAAAACTCCTGCAGTCATTTTTGACTGATCCAAGGCATCATTGACGATAAAACTTTTTGTGTGTGCCCCTGGATTTTTTGCTATTACCATAATACTGAGTAAAACAATAATTGGTCTGTAGTTTTGACAATTACCATGTGCTATATGTGGGCCTTTTTAAAACTGGTTTAATTTAAGAAAATCAATAACGTACCCCAATTAACAGTATTTTTTCTAACTAGTTTACCAGTAATAAGAATGCATATACCCATTACTTTCATCGGTTTACTAATAAACTGAGTCCACATGTTCTCTAGTTCCTGCAGTTTATTTTTGTAGATGTAGTAGAAAGCTTGATCACTCCACAGCCATGGACGGAATGCTCTCTCTGATGTAATGTAACCTATTCTGTAAACAAAGATTTCAGTTTCAATCAAAATAGTATAAATATAGTGTAAGTCTTTGCTGGAGAAGGGTAATGTTTGAATGAATTTAAAGGTCAAGAGGATTTTGGTTTAAAAATGAATTGTACCTTATCATACCTATTTATTATGAATTACATATATTGCAGTAAAAATCCATTTTTGTGTGATACATTATAGTGTGAAGCTTGAAGATGAATTCGTAGGAACATTCAATTCGGTTTGTGTTAAAAAAGGATGATTGAGAATTTCCTTTTTAACCAGTGACAGAGACTCCAACCAGTCCTTAAAGTTAATTTTTAGAGTTTGTGATGTACTAGGCAAAACAAAAAGCTTGTTAAGGTGTTTTTTTTAACAGTTAGCATTCTAAGGGGGAGGGAGGTGGGAGGGGGTTGGTCATTCAATGGTGCTCAACCAGGATTGATGTTTTAATTCAAAACCATCAAAACTTACATTGTGAAAGCAGTGAAGAATAAAAATTAAGCTAAAATATTGACAAGGAACTTCCTGTCCAAAAGGCAAATCATAGCTTGATAAAATGTGAAACATTAAAAATTCACTTTCAAACTTAACATTGCTTACCTAAAAATGAGTGATGTTCCAAGGTCAACATCTTTGCCATCCATCTCCTTCTGACCTTCAAGGCCAAATAAAATGCCTGCAAATACACCTTAAAATTGAAAACTAATTTGGAATAGTATAAGTCTTGTTAATTATAGCAGATTTGTTTCTGAGAAAATAATTGTTTTTCAAACTGCATAACATTACATTAACATATTGCTAAACATATGATACTTACTGCAAACAGAGGATACAGATGCCTTCAGCAAAGAGTCAAACACATCAAACACCTTCCCATCATCATGACTACCTAAATCCTCCACCAGCTGTTGACTGGAGCGATTAAACACTCTTGTTAGGTAATTGAGGTTTTGGCGATGGAATATAGGATTCATATTGCGTCTGCTTATCTTCCACTTAGCACCTGTTTAAAAGAATCATGTCTTAAAATTATTTGTTATTTGTACCGGTACAACAAAGTTCAGTTTGATTAAGTTACACATAGGCAATAGTTATACATCGTAATAATACAGTATCTCTATGTTTCAGTAATTTTATGATTACCGCAACCACTGTAACATTTCTTAAACTAATACTAGTTTATTGAAAGATGCTTGTCGTTGCATACCTGGAGCAGTTATAAGGCCATCCCCAAAAGCAAATCGGGAAAATCTGTACTCTGGTCCCTTTTCTAGAGCCTTAGAACTGGTCAGTATTATCTGAAAACACCATGACTACTGTATATTCGACAATAAAATAATAGGTTTACCTATGCTTCGCAATTGGTCATGGCTCCTGAATGAAAAACGTTTGGTAGCTATTAAAGCTACTGTATTGCTGTAACAAACATACAAACAGACAACTATAACAAATTAATAGCTCGAGAATGAGATAAAATATGTTAAAACCATCCATTAGTTGTTGCTTAGAGTTATGATGCTGGAAATAAATGTTATTGTCACAATCTAATTTGGAAATATAGTAAATGTAAGCTGTAAATGAAAGTAGCTACAAGCATACATAATCTTAAAAACAATCTAGATTCATACATTTATTAAATCTTCTTGAATGGGTGGTAGTTGTGTCCACATAATACATAGGATATTTAGAGAAAGGGAAGCGGATATTTCAATTGATTCTATAGAGGGACTATAGTTTGTGTTTGTATAATTTCATGCCATTATGGCACTACTTTCCACACACTCTGTGGAAGTGGAAAGCAACACCTCCCCCCAAAATATATACAAATACGAAATTTTGGTTTTTCATTTTTTTAAAGTTTTTCCTAGTTTGTTTAGTCCATGAGACCTATACGTCCGGGAAGGGTTAAGTTTAATCATTGGATTATAGATACTGTACTGTCTACTTAGATTGATAGTCAAAGATTTAATCCATGGCTTATTTTACCTGAGCATCTTGTGGTTTCTGTACAAATATTTGTGGTATTGGACCAGCCCACATACAGTACAGGCTGTACGGTTGCTTGGCTGCTGTTTTCATTGCTATTGTTGAGGAGTTTGTAAAATCTGGAACAAAAACAATAAAAACACAATTGATAATACTATTTTTTGTAATCATGAATTGAATTGCATGACTAAAAGTTTGAGGGAGTGCATATTACACACTATAACACTCCATTTAAGTTGAAGAATAAAATTCTGGATTTGAAACAGGTAGGTATTTATTGAATTAGTGATTAAAAAAGTGTTCTGTGAGAATCAGTGACCATGTAGTTTCTAATTCTGGTGAAATATGTATAATTGTCACCTATCATAGGAATTCAACTATATCACTTTGATTTTGGAATATCATTTTCTTCTTCAAATAAAACTGTATTGGCTGACTGAAATGAACTTTCATTATTACCTTCACCAGTATATGTTGGTACCCATATTTTTGAATGTGGGTTGTACCATGTGCCCAAAATCATGTTACATGGAATGGGTATTGGTAGTTTATAAGCAACATTGAGAATATTTCTATTTCTCCTTTGGTATAACTTCCATTGAATCGTGATGAATATCACCAAAGATAGAGGAACCAGTAATATCCACTGAGCCTAGAACAGAGAAGGTAACATTACCTTCACAGTAACAGCAAACCTAAGTACTTGATAAACTGATGTTATTTCAATCATTTAATTTATAAATATGGCATTTTTGGTAAAAATACAAAATAGGAAATGGATATTCCCTTAGTCAGCAGGTTTGTTGGGGTGGGGGTATTGTGTGTTTAATCAGGCATTTTGATGTGCAACTTTGTTTCCTCTGCATGTTATATAGTTATATTTATTTATTTATTTTTGCATGGTGTGCTTTTTGGACTTTTTGCATGTGAGTCAAGAGGAAGTGCATCTCTGTTTTTGTTAATTTTAGTGACTTGGCTAATTGTAAATGACTGAATGGCTCAATAAACATTGAATATTGCAAACGCTTTCAAGGGAAAGTGGTCCAAACCCAAAGTGATTTTTTTTAGATATCCTGGAGAGTCACCCTGTACCTCTGACAAAGAAGTCTGAGACGCTAACCACTATACTAACACACAACTACTATAAGAACACATTCTTGTTCTTTTTTGATTGTTGCTTTAATAAAACTAAAACATGTTATAATCTACTGCTATTATCTTTGAGAAACCCCATTTCTCTGGCTGTTCAAAGAATTAATTTAAACTAGAGGTCGTCCGGTGGTCAAAACTCGGCCAAAAATAGGTAATGCACAGACTTCTCTATTTTCACCCCACGCTGTAAATAAAACATGTGATTGGAATTTCTTCCATTTGTTTTGATTTTCTGTTTAGATTTTCCTTTTGTTATTTCGTCACCAGCAAGGCAACCCATAAGGCCCATGTTAGTTTTGTATTTAATTTTAAATGCATTTGTTGTGCTTATTTTTTGCATATTTTAATTTATAAAGGTATTTTGCACATCTATTGGGAAATATCGTTCTAACAGTATGTGTGGATTTTCCCTCCGATGCACAGGAGCTAAGAAAAGTTTTTCAAGAAACATGCTTGCCTATTAATATATAGGATAAAAGAAATAGAACAGACAAAACACAAAATTTGTATGGTTTAGGCAGTTGATTTGTTTTGGAAACAAGAGTCCCTGAAATGTGTGTTTTCATTATTTTCTCATGAATTGAACGATATCCCGGAGTCTATCTAGTCTAACCTAAGACTTCAAGAAGATGACAAAAATATAAATATCCAAAACATACAACTAAATAAAAAGGTTTATACCTGATTGTGGCCTTGTGGTCCAAGGTTTATCCTGAACACTGTGATTTATGTACATTTTGAGTCTAGCGCGCTTCCATATCCTGCCTGGTGCACACGAAGTAAAAACAAAAAACTATGAAAAATTATGGTTGACCGGTGTTTTTTGTGTTGAAAACTTTCAACACACCTCTTCAGGGAAGATTAGGTATTCTTTCTTATACGGATCTGACGATGACATTCGCTCCGAAAATGTGCATAACCCAGTAGGACAGACCTCAAACAACAAGGCCACAATCAGGTATTTTAACCTTTTAATTTAATTATCAATCAATTGGTCTGGAAACACCAAAACAAAAAATTAATCATCCAAAACTTGTCTGAAATTGTAAATGTATACTCACTATTGTTATGTCTTTTACAATTTCCAAGTACATCTCCTACGATCTGTAACAATAAAATTATACAGCTTCATCTTACAGTGGGTAGGGGTTTTTTATGGCATCATCAAAAGCAATAGTTTTATTTTTGTGTGGTTTATTAACTGCAATTTTTGTCCACCAAAAAAATAAAGGTAAATAAACAACTAGGTTTAAATATTTTGATTTAGGTTTTCACAAAATAGGCTGCTGATATATTAAAGTAGTAAATAAAGCACAACTGAGCGCTCTGAAATAATAATTATATTTTGTGGAAGTGACATGTTTTGGACTCCATAACAGTTAAACCCTGGCATTATTTACAAATAAAACAAAATTCAACAAGTTGTTTTTTGTTTTTTTTATCAAATGTGATAATATTTCACATAAGGAGGAAAGAGTTAATATTTCTTATAATAATAATAATTGAGACAGTTTTTTTCAGTTCTTTTGCAGTGTGAATCGATTGATATTTTATATATAACTATAGCTGTAACCCGCGGGCTTTGCCCCGTTTCACTTCTTAATTTTCAAGATGATCTCGTTCGCATGGCTCAATCATGTCCTGGTTGAAGTTCGTTCGCTACGCTCACTCACCTTTAGGTTGGAGCTCGTTCGCTACGCTCACTCATCTTTAGGTTGGAGCTCGTTCGCTGCGCTCACTTGCCTTCAGGTTAGCTCGTTCGCTACGCTCACTCGCCTTGAGGTTGAAGTTCGTTCGCTACGCTCACTCACCTTTTGGTTACAAATTAGCTGTTGTCATAAATGTAAAAGAAATAATGGTGCTGCACCCTGTTGGTAATCCTTGTAACTTTAATGCTATTGAACATCATAGAACAGAACCAACTTGTTTAATTGAAACAGCTGTTAAGATTCATTAATTCCATTTAAATATAAGTACTCATAAGATTAACATGGGAAATTCCAGAGCCACTGGGGCGGAGCCCGAGAGTCCGATCAGAATAAAAACCACTTAGTTTTCCTATTTAATGCCTAAAGAATCAGTGTACCAAATTTCAGCCTCCTAGGTAAATGGGAAGTGGGAGAATTAGTGATGAGTGAGTGAGTGAGTGAGTGAGTCAGTCAGTGAGGGCTTTGCCTTTTATATATATAGATAGTTTATTTTCCCCATGAACATTGATTGAATTCAATTTACATGTATTTGGTTTGTTAGGGACTCAGTAAATCCCAACAGATGCCACAGTAAACCATGACCAAGAACAGCTCATGTTATCAAATCCCTATCTTGCCTCAGAAAATATTTGTTTGCTGAATTTCTATCAGAAAATATAAGAAACATTTGTAAATTTATAAATCTGAGTAAGTGAACCAAGCTGTCCTTATTCTTTCACTTAATTGTCCTACCTGGAGAACAAGCTGATCTTAGACAGTAATAAAGCAATAATTCCATTTTTATTTAACACACATCCTTCACACATCTTCACTTCACCAGTCACCCTGGTGGGTTCACATTTTGTATGAATTGAATCTAATCTAATATAGTATTTAGTATTACCTTAACTTATGGAAACATCCAATAAACTTTATATTGCTGAGTTAAAAATAAAAACACGTCACATTAAAATTATCTCATCACAATTTTTGAATTCACACTGCCACTAGTGTTGAACTATAACACTCTTATCACATGTGTGACACAAAAGATTTATCAATTATGTAAATATAGCCTTGCGAGCTTGCAAATACAGGAACACATTATGCTCTGCAATTATCATTGAAATGAAAACTATAACTGCACACTTTAGATAACAATGACAGGGACCTTGAAAAACATTTAAGGTAGACCCATTTCCCCCATTTACATGATTGTAAATAAGTTTTTATTAGATTATTTTTTTCTTATGTTCCAAGTAAAAGACTTAACCGATTAAAAGACAGGCTGTTCACATCAACTTCTTAGAATGTGGCATTAAATTAATTGATATTATCACTATACTTTACCTTAGCCTGAATATTTTTATAACTAGGCCTATATAGATTTAAATTTCTTCCTCTTTCTGTAACTTTTATGATCTAAAACTGTATTAGAATAGTGCCACCATAGTCAATGATAGTGCTATAACACTTTAAGTGGCCAAATGAGTTTTTTTCCTCAAAATTCAACGCCCCCTGGGATATGGTCCTTCAATAAGTTTATTAGCTTCAAAATTCTCTATTCCTCACAGGGTTGCCACCTTATGTTAAGGAAAAATCGGGACATTGCCACCTTCCACCCGAATTAAAATAGGCTTATATTACGGGCATAAGGAACCAAAATCGGGACTGTCCCTGCAGAATCGGTACGAGTGGCAACCCTGATTCCACAAGCATTTACATTGCTCTATCAAAGCATGAGATAGGGGAAATAGGATACCTTGGGATTAAGCTCTCTTTTGGGGATATGCATTAGTGTACTTTTAAAAAGGTCGTGCAATATTAACTAAAGTACAAATAATACTTATTTGTACAATAAGTATTGTACAATAAGTTGTGTTAATAAGTTGCAGAAGCTAAGGTCAGCCACAGCACTTATCCTTGAAGTCTACAGAACTACTGATGTGATTGCTTCCTGTTTGCCAAAGACAGGCAAGATGTAAACAGACCTTTAAAGGTTTTTAGTGTCTTAAAATTTAAAAATTATAAGTGTAATAAAAGCCCATTTGTTCAAATAACTTACTTTGGTCTTACAGGTCTTCAGAGTCGTAAAACAAGTCCAGTAGGAGAGACTTCTTCACCTGGACATGTTCCTCTGGTTGCAGGACGAATGGTGATTTGTAACCAGTGACGAGGTAGAACTTTCCACTAGCACTGCAATGTTATACACCTCAGATTATCTTCCGTTACTTTATACAAAAATAGTGGAAGAATATACTACAGTAAACCTTAGTTAATCCAGATCCCATTATAAACTATGCAGTTTTGATGCACAGCAAATCGCACACAGTTGACCAAAATGATACTTAATTACACAATCAACCCCTAAACTGAGACTATAGTAATAATGAGAACTGTATTGATTTCATGAACATTAAGACGTATTCCACAAATTATTCTTTAAGAGGTTAACTACTAAGTTTTTATGTTATTCATTTATATTAGATATACACTATTTAAGGTTTTTTCCCTGGGAAAAGATGTTTAATTAAGACACAAGACGAACTCAACTCATGCTAAAAAAAGTCTGCTGGCTCTTACGTTAAGAATATTCAATTTAATATACGCTCTCTTTAATTCAGATAACTACTTAAAACCCCAATTTTCTGGATTACATTAATTAATACAAGGATTTACTGAACTTTAAAAAAGCTGATGATTTACTAGAATTAATAGTCCCTATTGTAGTTGTATTGTTTAATTTGAGCTGGGAAAAATAAACATAATTAGGCTAATTGGAAATCTACACATTTTACGTATGTATACACTGTCAACCGTAGATAATACAAATGTATGATATCAAACTTTAAAGTCACCAGGGAGTTAAATATGAAGCATAACTGATAAAAGTTCTCATTGGGGTGATTTGCAATAAATGTACAAATACATGAACTTTCTTATATACATAAGTGTGGAATTTGGATGCATTGTGTACTATGATTTCACCAACTCCCAAACCTTGTACCCTGTATACTTTGAATCTTTTCTTTCCAAAAGGACCAAAAGTTGATGAGAATATCTGATTGAAACTATTCTTTACAGATTTTTTGAGCCAGACAAGTCTTAACCAGTTGTAAAATTACAACAACGCCTGTAGCTATTCTTAGGTCCACTACATATACAGCACACATTCCTTACTCCACTCACTCTCAATACTGGACTGACGTCCTTCTCTCTCTGTTTGCATCATGCAGGTGTTGCTGTTCAATGGTAAGGATGCGATAGAACAGCTGCTAGTCCAAATTTGAAAATAAACCAAGCCCTTGTTACTTCCATCAGAACACAACTCTCTCCCCACAACTATCTTTTTTGGAATGGGTGTATCTCGGCGCTTCATTTCTATTTGTTGGATTCAGATTCCCAAGAGTTTTAGATCGTGTCAGTTCAAGTGGCAAGCAGGATGCGCACCAGAACTCTTCTATTGCTGTTGTTTTTATTATTTTGTACTTTTTCCCAACAATTAGTGACTCTCAGTTATGTTGGGGCTTTTCTTCATCCCTTTTACTCACCATCTTAACCAACACGATCTTTACCCTTACCTTCCAACCGAAAAGCAGGTGATCAGCAGTCTCCACTGAACTACCACACAACTATTTTATCTACTACAGTATTTTCAAGACAGTTACTTGGCAGGACATGGATCACCCATGAGAACAGTCGCTGAGATGCTACAATTGTCAGTCTGGTAGTGATGCCACGAGTCGCATCTGGTAGCAGGAAAGCCAACCTCCGAAGTGATAGATTCGATAAAGTACAAAGCTGCTCTACGATGTGAACAGCTCACTGGAACCGAAACACAATCATTTGTCATTCATGCAAGTAAACACCATGCATTTCCATCTAGTTTGATAGTATATTTACGGTAATTTCTAAATTGAACCTTTCCTAACAGTTTGTGTGACCCTTTTTTGTGATGATAAACAACTTTTATCGTTTGTTAGCAGCTACTATTGCAATTTTAAAAGGGAGAAATCATGGCAAAGGGTTTTATCAGTATCAAATGTACCATCTATAAACACTGTCGAGCTAAAACATACAGGGATGATGAGATTTTTAAATCTGGAACAGATTAATTTTTAATGAACAATATTTTAATTCTTGAATATAAAAAAACATTTGTTGTTGGAAAGGTCTTGGTGTGCTCATGCCAGAGCCTCTTTCTAAAGACTTTCCTACGAAATTGAGTCCTATTCCAATGCCTCAGCAGAAAGTGGCAAATCAGTAATATTTTTAATTTTATGCAGTAAAACTTGTAATAGAAAGAAATTATTCTTAGCTACTAGAAGCCAACACCAGTAGGTCAACAATGAGCAAACCAAAGGGAATTGGTTATTATTTATGTTACATATTTTCCACCTTTGGTTTCAGAAGTACCTCATGTAAGCTTCAAATCGTTTTCACTGTGTATATGTGAAATTTTGTTTTAGTTTTGATCTGATGTTTTCCAAGACATTGTTAATACATAAGTTTCCTCTTTCTTCATTAACAAGATTCACTTCTACATTAAATACCACAGGGTGACACTTAGGGAGGCACTTACAGGAAGACACCTCACATCCGGGTTGCTGTGACCCGCCATTCGGGTAGAAATCAATGTGACCCATCGGCCCAGACTGACCCAGCAGTCCCGCAGCCGAGTGTATGATGTCTACGAACACAGCATCGCCTGCGTCCAAGCTGACGTCATTCTCCATTGGTACGTAAGGGAGTGCCGGGTCCAAACCTGCTCCAAATAGATCAAATTTATAACTTGCTAACAATGATTCTACACAATTACCTTTTTGGTTTTTGTTGCCTTGGAAGTTCTTGTTGCTTTTGATATCTGATGAGCATTTCGCCACAGGTTGTGGCATCTTCAGAGGTTACTATCCTACACTTACATCCTAATATATACACAGTTTATATACACGAGAGAACTTCAAGGCAACAAAAACCAAAAAGGTAATTGATTAAAACTGTTCTTGAAACTGGGTTATATCACAGATTCTACACAGGTGAACTACATGTATCCACTGCAATATTCTAGGTAATATCCAACTGTATACATAATGAAATAAGTGTTTCTTGGTTAGAACTCAAACTGGTTTAAACTCAAAACCAAATATGAGTTTAGAATGGTGTGCATATGATCTGTTTAGCTTCGTTACTGACTAAGAACAGCTATTTCATTAAGGATCATCTATTATAAAGCTCAACGATCAGGTACAGCTGGGTTTCAGATTAGCACTGCCAAAAAGCTACTGACTTTTCTCAGGATCGATCCAGCAAATTTTGATTGTTAGGCGAGCACATTAACCACTCAGTACCCAGCCAGTCCTGCATCCTGAACACTATGTTACTATTTAGTCTTGTTTTATATTTACTTTGTGAAATATTTGACTATATAAACTCATACCACGAGGATAACTATACTGCTTCTTATATACTAAGCATTCTACTTGTCTGTGCTCATATAAAGATCACACTCTTAAAAAAACTATTGACAAAATAACTAATTAAATGTAACTTTTCAAACAATTAATCTACTTGTGAAACTTTACAAACCAGTGATCCGGGATACCAGTCCGTGGCCGAGAAAAGTTCCAGCATGACCCGCTACGTGAGCTCCCAAACTGAACCCTACGATGTGGATGTTACTGGGCGACACTCCTGCGTATACGAGGTGGTCCAGCAGCTGGGCCAACAGACCACCCACCTGCTGCAGTCCTCGTGAGGCGACAATGGGGTAGCAGGAGGATTCACCTACCAGCACGGACCAGTCTACCACCACCACGTTGTACGGCCCACGGGACAAATAGGCTGCAAACAGTAACCAACTGGAAACATCTGAAGGATTGATTGGTGGATCAAAATAATTTTGGAAAAAACTAATGTTGATTAAGACCCTAGTAAATTAGTTAAGGGCTAATTCCACCACTGAAAAAACTGTAGGGAAATTAGAAAGAATGGATTGAATGATCCATAAAACCATACTGATACAAAGGGTACGGGTACATTCTTCCTTTTCCATGGATAACATATGAAACTACAAACACTTTTGTTACACAAGTTTTGGTTACGGTTTTCATTTTAATACTCAATACTTGGTTTATTTAAGACTTTTCGACCTTTACTAATTTCATACTTCACATAAACCATAAACATCATTTGATCATTTTTTTCACAAAAGGAATGGATCTATAAACACGAAACTCTAGAAGTAAAGTCACTTTTTAACGAATATAGTTTAGTGCAAATGGTACTTACGTTCAATGGCTCAATACAAATTTGTGGGCATAACCAAACTATGTACCCTCCACATTTTCCATAATAATAACAATTACGCTATGGCATAGTTACCATCTTTCATGCTGACCATAACATCTGTCTGATAATCTTGAAGGTAGCCGTGAATGAGAACTTTTGTTTCAGCAAAAACATTGAACCACTTTGATTGAATTGACGATTTAGCTGGATTCAATGGCTCAAACTCATAATCTTCATAATAGTCCTCTTCATTTTCAATTTCCCTTTGAAAGTAAACTTCAAAATTATCAATGACTCATGCGAGTTAGAAATAAATTATCAAGCAAAGTTTCAATCAAAACAATAAACGAAAAACCATTAACTAAGGTTTAGATGTTTATTTTACTGTTCAATATTTTTATAATGAAAAACAATGTTGCTAATGCAAAAAAGTCTGAACCAGAAGTTAGTGTGAAAAGGATAAAATATGTTACAAAACTGCACAACATTAAATTACAGTTTTGTACTAAACAGCTAATAAATACAGCAACTACATCCACCAGCGCTATATGAAGAGGGTTTATTTTTTGCTATGAAAGCGCTGAGGAGGAATCAAAGACTGGTACGGGTGGCGTCGTCCTGTAATCTAGATACTAGGAGGTTACAAACTGTTTATATTTATAGGCTTGCACTGTGGATGTGACACTCCCTAGTGTGGATTAACGTCCTCACGAGTGAGTACTACAACTATCCGCAGTACTATCCTGAAAATTAGACCAATTCGTATATACCAAGGCAAAAATGTGGTTCAGATTCCACTATAAACTGTAGGTCCTTTAGTTGCCATTGGCTGTATGGGCTATTAATTAAAAGCTGTGTCTAAGGAATAAGTCAGCCTTATTCACTAACAAGACTACAAGATCGCGCCACTCATCCTAAACTCATCTCCATTAATACTTGGCTTAAAATACCTACTTTGTATGGTTGCAGAAAAACTAGAAGATCTGAAGGCCTTAACCGAATTATTTATGAAAGAAACAGAAAAAGTAGGCCTAAAAACAAACTATTCCAAAACTAAGTACATGCACTTTTCAAGAAACCTGGATAATACTGAAGAACCAATAGAAATTGATGGCCATACATTTGACAAAGTCAACTGTCAATCAGTTTTAAAGGGAAACACTGTAGGAAGGCAACCCCGGGGAAGACCTAAGCAGAGGTGGTGGAAGCAAGTGCAAGTAGATTTGGAGAGAATTGGGGCAACGGAGGATGATGCGAAAGACCGGTTAACTTGGGGAAGATTTGTTGGTGCGGCCAAATATCACCTCCGATATAAATAGCCTTGGGAGTAATTAAGTAAGTATGGTTGTCATTTCATTGAAAAGTATTAAAGTAAAGTATAAAGTAAGAGCTTGTGTGAATCAGTTGTCTGAACAATCCCAAGTTCAAAACAACAGAGAGTCTACTAGACTGAATTTGTATTACTGTATTAGTTTTTATAAAATGACTTTATAAGTTTTATAACTTTTTTAAACGTTCTTTGCTATGTTATAAGAGTCTGCATGCTCCACATTGTTTGTTTCAAACAGTACAGCGGTGTAATTAAAGCATTTAAAGATCCACCTTACCTTTTATTATAGGGAATCTCTGTCTTGAGTTCTTCCTCCAATACAGGTTTTGGAATATTAGCATTGTCTGTCACATTGTCCAGGGGTTGTTCTTGGGGGAGAAATAGTTCTTCTGGCTCCTCTGGATTTTTCCTGGAATTCCTCAAATATTTGTTAAAAAGTTGCTGTTGTGTAGGCTAACAACTCTCTAACAAGAGTGCTTAAGCTTTCGTTGTATTTAGTGAGAGTGATACAATATGTGATGAAAATGACACAACTGAGTACCATATGGTAAAGTCAAAAAATGTTCATTAAATTCATTATGCATCTAAACTGTGGTGTGTTGCAAAACACTGTGTGTTTTTCCATCAGTCTGTGGACATTTAAAACTTGTTTTCACAATCTATTTACCTAGCTTAACTCGACATTAGTTTTAAAAATTGGTTCTAATCTGCTATGTTCTAAGATTCAATCTCCAAACACTTACCTAGTGTACAAGTGGAAATGAACGTCTTCTGGCTTTGCTTCAACAAAACTACTGAACACACAGTGGTACATGCCTCCCAGCAGATCCAGAGCCATATCCAGCTCTACGTCAGCAACACAAGCACACATCTTTTATGAGGAAAACATTAACATTTTACAAATTTATGATGTAACATTTTTCTTTACAATCTAAACATAATTCAAACAAATGCAGTCTGTACCCACAGCCACAACACAAAGGTGTGTTATAAAGACTTCAAATTTCTAGAAATTAAAAGGACAACTTTAAGGGACTTTGAACCGCCAGGCTTGTTCCCAGCATCCGACCATAAGTAGAACGGAAGTAGTACGGTGGGCTATCTTGTGACCCAGTTTTTGCTGGATCATGGGTACTCCTGGGCTTTTTTGTACAGAATGGGGAAGACCGCCAGCTCAAGCTGTCTGTACTGTCTCAGCATTGCAGACAAGGCTGAGCACACCTTCTTCTTCTTCTGTGACAGGTGGCATAATTGCCAAGCCTCTGTGATCCCTGAGATCAGCTTCAACTTCTTTAGGGTTATGCTCCAGGAAAGGGCACTTGAAACTGTGTAAAGCATAGTTCTCCGAGGCCATACTTGGGCTAAGAAAGTCAATACGATTGTTGAAGTCAGACTATTTGGGGCAAAAACTCAGATAATAAGTCGTATGATTGTTCTTTACAGGCATTACTAGGTGAATTAGCTTCCCTTCACAACCCAAATGAAGTATTGCTAACTTTGTTGGAGAGCTAGATTTGGCTTTGAAACAACAGATAACAATTAATATTTCTGAAAAGTGAAAATCATAATTTATTTCTTTATTTTTCATTACATTTCAAAGAGTTTAATCAGGTCAACGGTTTGTATATATTTTAAATTGCCAATTGCTAGAAACCGGAACCATTCACTTTAGGTATTATTAACCTCTAACTATATTAACTTGTTAAAACACTTTTTTTAGTTGCACTAGGTACAGTTAGATATAAAGAATGTCCTTTCTGAGACTTAGGCTAGGGCCACACTTCGCGACTTTGACCCGGCGACAAAGTCGCGGCGTCAATGAATGACAGTGCGTAGCATTAAATTAAATGGAGGCGGCCACACTAAGCGACTCGCGACCAGCGACCAACGGCGACAGAAAAATAAACGCGACCGGGAGCGTTTTTTGGTCGCGGCGACAAATACGCTCCCCATGTTATCTTATGGCACCGGCCATACTAGGCGACAAGTCGCTCGTTCACACCCCCTTTGCTGCTCTATTTTCATATCTATATTATTTAGTTTTGGACTGGCATGGAAAATATGCTTTTAAAATACAAATATTTTCATCGACAAAATAAGTGTTGGCATATTTACATGTGTCCTCTAGCATATATGAGATTTTACTCGTCTGGTATAACAGGAAACTAAAACCTCGTGTATTTTTCAAATGTCGTGCGTTCAATTTTAGCCACATAAAAAAAATACTACAAAAAGTTACAATATCAAAAACGCCATCCATAAACAATGATGTTTCAGGTAATTCACTCCATACCTGTGGTTTCTCATCCTTTTAGCGAATTTTCCAAATAGAGAATAAATTATTACGGTTTGCATGGTAGGACCTAAGCCCGGGACCGACTTATTTTTCGTTTTGAGGTCCTCAGAGGCAAAAACTCCCTCCGTTAAAATTCATATATATAAGTACATATGTATCTATATACATTTGCAGTGTATATATTTTATATTTATATAGGTCTATGTGCCCATTAGGGCGATAACTTAAGCAAAATTGATAAGATTTTAATGGTATTTGGCACAAATGTTAAAACCAACGTTAATTCAAACGGGTTCGCAAATTAAAATGATCAGACTATGAGAATGGGGGTTTTCGGGGCTTTAGTGGGGTATAACATTAGTTCTTTCTTATTTTTGACCCTAAAACATAAATTTCACAATTCCCTTCCAAAAATGCCTTATACATAATGCCCGTTTTAATGGAGAATAAACTGTTGTAGTTTGCTTGTTTATAGATATATTTTAATAACATTTTGCAATATTGTTAATTTCGTGCTTAGCTATCAAAATTTTAATTAACAAGCACACCTCATTAGGTTACCTTATCTGTACTAACAAACCTAAGCATAAATTTAAATTCATCTTATATAAATTGGAAATAAATCCGACAAGTTTAGGTGAATATTTTAGTGGAAATCTAGCCAAACAAATGTAAATTCAATTAGTCTGCAGGTTTTTTTGCGGCGGGGGTATTTAGATATACAAGAGATTGCAACATCAAGCATTAAACAGTGATCTGACGATTTAGACGTCCACATTGGTTTTAGAAACACAATTTAACACTTCTATTTAGTAAAAATTGTATTCCTTTGTTGCAGGTAAATGGTTAAAAACTATTACGTGACCTAGTACGAAATATAAAGAGGCACCGGTGCACGTACCAAAATACTTTAACTATATGATTCGATTCGTAAGATTCGCTTGAATTGTATGATACTGCAAATAATAGTAAAAAACATCAATGTATTCTAAGATCATCCAAAAACATACATAAACAGTCATAGATCCTTATTTATTTCCATAATCAATGACACGATTTTAAAATTACAATACAACATCTCGAAACTCTATTTTTACTGGTATGGTAAAAAGTAAACTGAAAGGTTGAAATTGTCGCCTATTGTGGCCACCCCCAACTACTTTGTCGTCGCGACAAAGTCGCGCAAAAAAAGTCGCCGCGTCAAAGTCGCCAAGTGTGGCCCTAGCCTTACAGAAAATTCAAAAATGTTTTTGCTATTGAAGGGGAAAGTTTAGATCAATAGGCTATACTTACTTGATTCATGAATATCCTTCGAAGTAGCGTTTGTGTTGTTAACAGCCAGTATGACGATTGAAGAATTTGGAGGCTGCAGGTGATCCGGTAAGCTACCGTTTTTAATATCAGTGGCATTTACATCCCCAATCTTAGTGATGCTGTTTGGAGAAAGTGCTTTGAACACACCAACCAGACTGTCAAAAGGTTTCATCACAAATGCCATGACATTGAAAGATGTGTCATTGATATCAGCGGCATTACGCACATCTGTTATGTTTGGATAAAATTCATGTTTCTTCGTTTCTACTTTTGATTCCACATTATCTGCAAATGCCACTGACTTTGTTAAAGCAGTGCTATTTTCCTGTTGCAAAGAATTGGTTTTGTTTAACTTTATAACGTGTATTTTATCCGTGTAAAATTTATGAAAAAATTGTTTCACTTTTCCACGGCCAGTTTTGTTGACTGACATATTTGGTTCAGTCGTAAAAGCAAATTCAATCTGTGTCCTATTGGACAGAGTTCCTCGTTGATTTTCATTGGTGGTAGTATCATAATTATACGGAATAAGGTTGACATTAAGAGTATTGTCTTTTCCACCTCGTCTAGTTGATGTTTCTGGAGCATTAGAATTATGTATATATTCTTTGGTTACATCACTAAGAGCTGAATCCACCACTGTGTTGTTTTCTGAAACTATTAAAGGCAGAGTGTTGTGGGAATGTTTAAGATGAAAGAAATGTTTGATCTTTTTATTTGGTGCAAAAGTGGACTGGATTAGATGTTCTTCGCTACTTTGGACAGGTGTTTCTGTAGTTACATATGATGGAAGAGGTTTCGTTACAGTTATATTGTTAGTGGAGGAAAGCTGGAAACACCATCTGAATGTACAATTATCTTTTTTGTTATAAGTCTTATTGATAGCAGGTATTTTATTTTTACCTAGAAACCAATCCCTAAACCTGTCACCACTGTTTGTATGCACTGTTACATTGAACATTTCCTTGAAACTGTCTGAAGCAGAGTTATCTAGTTTCCTGTTATTGTAATTATGATTTTCAATCCTTCCTGGGTATTTGTACCTTCTGAGATCATATTCTGTGGATTTCCGCAAACCCCTAATGTCTTCATATATTTGAGTACTGACAACAAGAGTATTATCTGTATGTTCACTTGTTTCTAAGCTACCGAGGCCTTCAAAGCCTTTTGTAGTTGTGGGATTATTTTTCATTACTTTATGTTTTGCAGTATTATTACAGGTTGGATTGGAAGTTTTGGAGTCGAAGTGAATATTAACGGCACTCATGGGCTTTGTTGTAATGTCAAAATTGAAATTTTCCTTGGTGACTGGAGTATCTTTTTCATAATTTTCACTAGATGCCAAAGACAACAATGTTGAATCACTAGGACAATGCTGTGTACTAGACTTAAAATTTTTAAATCTCATCAGATATTTGACTTTAAACGGACTACGAGTTATCGTATCTTCTGGTTTAATATGTGAACTGATTTTTGATCCAACCAATTTATTGATTGAACTCTGTTCAAATTCTTTGTTTCCTTTACTTATTGTTGTTTTCACCAATATCTGGTTGCTTTCTTCTTCATTTTCTGCACCTTGATTTAGAGGCTTCATTAGGTGTGTCTTATTTTTGTTTTCTCTAATAATGTCACTATTCAGTCCATGTTTTCCTTTTGTTATTGAGGGTGTAAAGGTTGTCTCGGATCCACACTTTGTATCAAAATTAGTTTGTTTTGATGTGAAATAACCTTCAACATCTTTAGATAATGTATCAAAACTGCTAGTTGATGTTCTTGGATTTTTATGTACCAAGTTTTTTAAACGCATATATTTACTACTGGTTTTCGTTAAACCTTTACTTAACTCTGCAGTTAAAGGAATTTCAGTGATAGGCCTACATTCTTTGTCGAGAACGTCCTGAATTGGAGAAGATGGGATTTGTGTTTCAAAGACAACAGGCTCTGTTGAATCAAAGTGATTAGGATTACTAGTTACAGTTGGAAAATGTTTCAACTGTTTTAGTTTGTGAAATATGTTTAAAAATTGAAGGACACTTGTTGGTCTAAAAGTTGTGGACGCGTTGGTTATTGGCTCCAGTTTGACTGTTTCATTTTGAGTTGTTTTTATACTACTTGGACTTTTTTGCGAGATATTATAATGTTGTAAATGTCCTCCTGTTTTATTGGGCGATGACGCTTTTGAAACATGGAAAATGTTTTTTATATTGAACTGATTGCGATTAATTACTGACTTGTAACTAAGAGAAGAATATTCTTTTGACTGATGTGTTTTGAAACTCTCATTAGTTGTATAGCATTTCAATGTGTAACGGTCATCACCTACTTCTCTTGTAGCAGAATACATCTTTGTTCCAGATGTTATATTGTACTTGACTGTTCTAGGGTCTAGGGTGATCTGGTTTCCATTCAAAGGAGTGTTTGACAAGCCATCGTAACTCAAACCGGATTCAATGTAGGAGCGGTTTTTTGGTAAACAAGATTTTAGCAAGTCAATTGTGTTTGATATCTTTTTCTTCTGCATAATTTTATCATCTGAGGTACTTGAACTACTTGCAGCAGAAAAATATGCTGTTGAGTGTTTGGAATGAATAATTTTCCCTTTGTCTTGGAGTGATTCAGTTGATGGTGGATCAATTGTTTTTCCTGTACTCATACCTATGGGTTTCTTCAATCTCTGTTTTTTTCTATGAGCCATCTTTGTCTTTTGAACAAAAAAAGGGGTACAAGTTGATGTTATGTTGATTGGTTTGTTATGGTACTTATTCAACAGATTTTCAAAATTGATTTTCTTCCTTTGAGTATTTATGAGGAGCCTTTTTGTGGTGGGGTTGTTATTCATAAAAATCCTTAGTGTTTTCTTGTCCACAATTTGGTTGTCCGTTCTGTTAAACTCCATTACTGTGTTTAAAGTGTTTGATTCGGAATCAGTTTTGCCTACTATGGGAAGTAGATGACAAAATATAAGTAAAACTTCTCCAAGGCAGACCATAGTCATTAAACTGAAAAGAAGTAAAACAAATTACCAAGGCGGAACAGTTTTTATCTTTCATGTGTCTATTCAAATTAATATTTTTTCATGCCAATTTTATGCTAATTCCTCAACTATGGAACTTAAGTTATGTAAAGGAACCAATTGAGTTCTTTTAAGCTTATAAATTAACTTGTGCTAACTTACTATCCGCATGCAGTGCTAAACACGTCTACCATTGCATTAGCTGTATATTGTACGTTGTTATTGTATAATATATAGCCTTGCATATACACAAACAAAATATCTATAGCTGCAGTAGCAGTCTGTGTGACAGCCTAGCTGTATAACAATGGTGAAACAAGACATCTTCAGCAAGTCTTTCCTTTTACTTTTTTTGGTTTGGCTGACTGGTACTGGTAAACATTTAGATCAGTTGTATCATAGCCTCGTCTAATGCAAGGCCACGGTGTTGGTGTGTGGCATCGCTACACGTGGTGTGGCCATGGTAATAACAGGAATAACAAACTTGTAAACATAAACATTGCGCATGATCCATTATAAATTAGTGCAAGGGCTGATTCAGTATGCCAGGTCTATGGTGTAGCATATTTTGTCCGTCTGCAGCCCTGTATTAGAGGAGGCTATGGTTGTATGCTTCTTCAATAACTATCATGTTCTAGAAAACCTCTACAAATAAATGTTGCACCTATCTAAATAATTTTAATGGATTCATTGCTTATTCCTACTTAATTAAAAAATAATATACTTCTAAATTTTACCATTTTGATAAAAACATAATTTATGGTACTTACTTATTCTCAAACAACATGCAGTTAGACATTGGCACAAGCTGATACTAATGTAACAAACTTTAACACTTAACAAAATTTGAAAGATCACCAAGAATTTTGAAATGGTAACTAACTGTATTGTACACTAACTATGGATTAATAATTTTCCACATTTTTAAATCGTAATATATATTTGTCATCGCAAAACCTTCATGGAAATTTTAAATACAAAATGTTTATTTATTTGGATGTCAAATTGACAGCTGATGATTAATTTTCTGTATAGATAACCAACTTCCATAATAAAATAACCACATGATTAATAGATTATATAGGTATTATAATGCTTAAGTAGTTTAAACTATTCTAAAACATTATGAGAAACTATTACATGATTAAAAAAACATGAATTAACATAGTTATGTGAGCCAGTTATAGAATGTGCATGTGTCTAATACTATATTTTCTACTTTATTTCGTGTTACTTATTGAGATAGTTTAAAATGTATTAAAATTTGCTGATTCTTGAATTGTTTATCTCATAGTAAAATATATATTTACAATAAATATTGTAAAAAATATACCTAAAAAAGATACCTATACAAAAATCTAATAAAGCTGCTCCAAATATTTATTGGTCAAATATCAATGGTAGTGTGCCAATTGTTCCACTATGAATAATAAAGAAGATTATTCATTTAATATTTTGATTTCACTACTTATTTTTTCTCTGGCAAATGATGTGTTAGAGAGGAGTTGAAAGGTGAAGAACCCTCAGTACCTATTTGCTCACTATATACACGATACCACTTGTGTGTTTACATGAATGATAAAAAAGTATCATGAGCATGGGTATCTAGTATCTTGAGGGAGCATCAAAATGTGTGACGTAAAGTAGTGATGCAAGAAAGCTGTGTTTCATTATTACCTCTACAAAAAATAGTTGGATTTGGTGTCTACTGAAGGTAATACAGGCTACTTTATCAATTTGGTCATAGTATTAATTTTTATAATGCTAACACCGTAGATACTATGACAAGTATATATCATTATTGACATGATACATCATTGTATATTTATTGATCACTTTCTAAAAAAATATATTTTGGATTGGTACATTTCAACTTATGGGCATCTCAAATGATAATATAATTGATTTTGAACATGTGTTTCATCTATAATCTGTTTTAGCGAATTTCCTATAGGGAATCAGCAAATATTTTTATATTATAGGGAATAAGCTATAACCATAGGTCTAACCCAACCCCGAGACCAATTTACTTTTTTGTTTTAAGGTCCCCAGAGGCAATCTGTTCAAATGCATATATATTTATTTCCTTGTTTGTTTAATGTACGAAAGAATTAATTGTTGTACGATTGATTGTTGTCTCAAGAAATAATTGTACGATTGTTTGGAACCTATGTTTATTCTAACAAGTTCAGGAACCAGCATCATCATACCATGGGAATAGGGTTTTATGGGGGTAAAAATATATTGTACCCATTTTGGACCCTTAAAAGATGAATTTTTGCAATATCTCTACAAACCATTTTGAAGACCTTTAATTTATCTTAAATAAGTTAGAATATTGAAGTGTTGTTCTACGCAAATGGTTAAGGAGAAAGGTTCAAAAAACTTTAAAGTATGTTATTTTTTTAGAATAAGTAAACTGTTGTAGTTTGCTTGCTTATAGATAAATTTTGATCAAATTTGGCATTTTTTCATTTCATTCTAATCTATTCACATTTTACCAAGAGCACACTTTATTAGCTTACTTGTAGCAGAAAACCTATTTACTCATTAAATAAAATTTTACTTAAAAGCAAATAAATCTAACTTTTTAACCGCTGCTCGTGTGAACCTTCCAAAGAAATTATGTATTTGAATAATTTTATAATGGGAAGCTGAGGGGTATTATAGAGAACAGTCAGTAGCTTTTTATTGTTTGAAACTTGTTCCAGCTGTCTCTTATCATTGTGCTTTAAATAAATGATCCTGACTAATGAAACAGCTGATCTTAGTCAGTAACAAACTACACAGATCATCTCGCTCCATTATACACTAAACCTTCAATCATATTTGGGTTAAAATACAGACCTATAGGTCGGCCGGTTAGAAAACGACCCGTGCAAAATGTTTAGCGCATGTAGGGGAGGTAACGGAAAGGGAGGGTATGTTCCCCTCTCCGCGTATTTGTTTACATTTTGATCAGCTGTATAATTTAATTGCTGTTAATATTTTAGTTGCAATTAAAGGGGGCGTGTGCTCGGGAGGGACAGGGCGGCAGCGGAGTGGGGGAAGAGCCATAGTCTATCTCACTCCCACAGCTCGGTATCTCTCTCTCGCACCAATGCTACGAGGAGGCCGTTTTCTAACCGGCCGACCTATAGTCCCTATCTCAATTGATATTGATATACTATGAAATGGTTAGTAATAATCTACGTACTAACTGCAACAATCACTGAATTCATTAGTTTTTGTTTTTTTTTTTGTTACAGGATTTTACTATCACAGGATGAACTTTAGAATTACAAAAGACATAACATTAGTGAGTATTATTGTTTATTACAAAAACCCCTTAAATTATTATAACTCTTCAATACAAACCTTGGCTATATCAAACCATTTTTTAAACAAATCCACCAATTTTATTCATATGCACTATTACAGTGCGGTAGATACTTACCGGAGCAATACAAGTTTTATTCTTTTTTATTAAAATATCATTGATCCGTGACTATTAGAAATAATATATGGGTTGAAAGGAAAGTTGGTTAAACTGTCCAAGTTATTGGGCAGAGGATATTACAAGTATCTCCCTTTCTATAAAAATGTGTATTTATTTCTATAAAATCATTGTGAATAGTACTAAAAGCATTGTTTAGAATGTTTCGATAGTTATTCTCTGTTCTAGACTCAGTGGCTGATACTGCTTCTTCTTATCTTGGTTATATTCCTGGTCACAAGGTGGAAATTGTATTTGAAGAGAAATAGAAGAATACTAAACATCGCTGCCAAGCTACCAGTGCCAATTCCTAGGAATTCTATTTTGGGAAATTGGTACAACCCAAAGTCAAGACTACTTTTGAGATATACTGTTGAAGGTGAATAATTAGTATATTTCATCACCAAGGGCGTGAAAAGACTCTTTTCGATCCGAGCTCAAGTTTTACGATTGATACGAAGCAGAGGTTGGAAAATTAGCGAGGTTTGAAAAGATAGTTTTTGGGCTTGAGATGAACTAGGATTTTTCGTCAATATTTTTTAAAATTTTTATATTGCACTATTTATTATGCAAACTGAGTTACAAACAAAACAACAATATTTTTCATGCGAGGATAACCTCCGAAAATTTTTTACTAATGCAAAATAAGTAGTTGTTTAATGATTTAATAATTTTGTCGATTACGATTGTGTTACTGTATACATTATACAATTGATTTTTCGAACTATTTACAATAATGCAACAATTGGCTACAACAGATTGAATCGATAAATCATGCCGATACATATGGGATTGCTGACAATCAATGTTTAAAACCATGTACAACAACTGCCTTTTACTCCCTAGGGACCAAAACGCTTTCCACTCCCTAGACCCGGAACACATGTATAAACGGTATCAGCAAATTGACACATACTTTCTCCCATAAGCTTGTAAACAACCTTTATTATGGGTAAGCGGAAGCGGTGGGAGTAACTATGATATTCTATAGGGATAAATCACAAAAGTTGCAATACTTTGAACAGTAATTGTTACAGCAATTTGAGGGTTGCACTATTTTTTGCAAAATATTTCCTTTTTTCTAAGGGTTTCTAAGTTAATCTGGCTTTTGTAGATTTTACAGATGTTATTAGAACAGGAATGAAAGCAGCTGCTGCACATACATACTCTCTATTCTGCATGTGGGCGGGACCTATACCAGAAATATGTGTTCAAAAACCACAAGACGTCCAAGTAAGCAAATGAACAGTTATAGTAATTTGTGTTGAAATACTAAAATAAATTCATAAGTATACATACTAAATTAAACCCATCTAAGCATTTTTTGTTTAAAAAAATTCATCTAAATAGACATTTTTAAACCTCTATATCATTTAGTAAGAAGTTATTCCCTCTACTCAGCAAATATATTGGACATCATAGCTAACATGAGAAAACAAATTCAACTATTAATGGACACATAACTCAATAGCAACTGCAAATTGTATTTGATATGTTCTTCAACATTAGAGCCAAGCATAGGCCTAGTATGCTTAGGTTTTGTGTTTACCAGTATTGTTAGTATAGTAGACCAAAGAGGTCAGATAAATAGATGAGCTAAGGAGTTATTTCTCCAGCCAAGAGACTGCATTGTACGGAGGGTTGTTCGTAAATTAAGGACTCAGTAATTGAGCAAGCTAGTTTGATTCCGAGACCATGTTCCTTACCTCATTTACTGCTATTCTAGATTCCCATATGTATGGAAACCAGGTAGCTTAGTACAGTAGACTCCCTCTTAGCTGACCCTAACGGGACTGGAGCTAGGTTGGATAGCTCAAAAGGTTGATTAAAACGGGCAATCCCTAAAGACTTTAAAACATGAAATGCTTTTCATTTAGAATTATGCCGTATAATCATTATCCTGAAGTCGTGCGTGCATTATTTACAAAATAAACTAAACTTATCTCCTTTTAGCGAATTTTCCATAGAGGGAATAAACTATTACCGTAGGTCTCATGGTAAGACCTAGACCCAGGACAGATTTACTTTTTCGTTTTGAGGTCCCCAGAGGCCAAAACCACATACTTTGGAAAACACATGAGCTCCGTCCAAATTCATATATGGAAGTTAAAGTATTAACATTTCAATAAAAAAACCTCAATACCTACCCTGTAGCAGCAAACCTAAATACTCATTAAAAATAAATTTTATTTAAATAAAAATAAATCTGACAAATAAAGGGAATATTTTAGTAAAAACCCAGCCAAGTAAATGACAATTCATTTAATTTGCAGGTTTGATGCGGCGGGGGTATTTTGTATTGACAACATAAAAGTCACAAATAAGCCCAAATTGAACTGCTTTCATAAAAAGGTCTGTTAAAAAACTGTGATATTTTGCGAGCGAGGGTGGATAATCCGATTATCGGTTAATGTGAGGTCGAATAAGAGGGGGTCGCTGTATTAATAATGGTAAGGAACACAACTTTTGTCTCAGATTTAAACTAGTTAAGCTTGGTTTTAACACTGATCAACAAGCATTCCTCGGAAAAAATCCTTAAGTAAGTTAAAAGTATGGGGCTTTATGACAGTTTTTGATTTTTTTTTGCAGGTTTTGCTGACCAGTTCTAAGGCACTAGAGAAGGGACCAGAGTATACATTTGCCCAATTTGTTTTTCGTGATGGGCTCATAACAGCTCCAGGTATATGATCAAACAGTTTCTTGAATAGGATAAAGTTTGAAATTGCATAAAGTTAATGTTACATGCAAAATATAAGAGTTGAAATGGCAATGGGGATCTCAACACGCTTACACACTTGCTTGTCTTAAACTTATGATTTTATTCATGAAAAATGTGATAGTTATAAAATAATCTTACCATACAACTACTAAATTGTACATACATCATAGCCAGTGGCTCCCAAGGATAGGATCACGAAAAAACCACGAATATCTCCAGTCCCCCTCGGTCATGTGAAAATGATTGTAATCTTTTGCGGCAAAATTCTGATCATCTCCTGCGATTGTGTGGACATCATTTTCATCTTCAAGGTCATGCAGACATCATAATCGTCTTCTCAAATCACGCAAAAATTTTGATAATTTCTTGCGTCTATAAAGACATTGGCATTGTCTCCCGTGGTAACGGAAAACTAATGAATATGCCCTGCGGAAAGGAATCATCATGATAGTCTTCAGCGATCGGGGCCAAATTCAGATCATCTCCCGTGGTCGTGTAAAGATTATCATTGTCTTCCGAGATCACAAAAGGTTTTGATCATCTCCTGAGGCTGTGCAGACATCATCATCGTCTTCCCCAATCGCTGCAAAAGCGGTAATTTTCCGATCCTTGCCAAAGTGTCTAGTATCAGTATCGGAATCGACTTTTGACGATTGATTCTCGACACCAATAAGTTAACAATATCCAAATATTGGTAGTATCGAGAATTTGTATCAAGAAAAAACCCATCCCTAAAAATAATTTTGGGGGTGCCCGCCCCCTGGGCCCCTTCCCTGGATACGCCACTGATCGTAGTAGTTACTATAGTTCAAACAATTGTTGACATCCTTAAAATTTGTGTAAGCTATCCAATCATGTATATCCATCTAGATTATAAAACGGTTGACATTTTACTGTACAGCTAACTATAGACATAAAAAACCATTACAAATAAGTTTCTATTTATAAAAAAGTAAACAAGAAACAAACTTTGTATCCTACCTTTTTAGAACGGTGATGTAGAATGAATGATGGGGAACAGAAAGATGTTGTACAAGTACGCAGCCTGTTAGATTGAAACACTGTCTAAAGCGGCTTACACAATATAAAACATGACATGAAAAAAATTATTGTTTATTTTATATGTTTTCAGGAAACTCTGTAGTTTATAATTAAATCTGCATTCCTTATAATATTTTTTCTACCTTTTAACTGTATTAATTATTTATTTGAATTAATATTCATAGAACTACTCCCAACTTGATGCAGCTTTAACACAATTATCTCAAGCTGTGTGGATATTATGGTAGTTTGAGTGTGGGACTTCTGCCCTTGGGCCTGGGTTCAATCCTACACCATAATGCTGTAATTTACTACATCATAATGCTGTAATCCGGTTGCTTGAAACTCACCTTAATAAAGCTCTCTAGGTCCACTTTAACAAGGAGATAGGTTTAATAAGGCAAGGTGTCTCTAAGGGCTGTGTCTCTATTTTGGAGATTTGCTTTTAAAAAGGCATAAATAATTTAATTTAACTATAAGTAATGTACCATACAGACTGATCATCTTATTAATCAATTACATGATAAATTTCAAAAACAAACTAGATAAAATGTAATGCCTTATGACAACGTCATTTGGAAAGATGATTATCTTTCTATCTTTTTAGGTGCTAAGTGGAAGATAAGCAGACGCAATATGAACCCTATATTCCATCGCCAAAACCTCAATTACCTAACAAGAGTGTTTAATCGCTCCAGTCAACAGCTGGTGGAGGATTTAGCTAGTCATGATGATGGGAAGGTGTTTGATGTGTTTGACTCGTTGTTGAAGGCATCGGTCACCTCCGTTTGTAGTAAGTATAAAGTAGATTAAATTAAATTCATACAGTGGCGTAATACCATACAATTTCATACAATACAATGTTGTATTTATTTTTATTTCATTGGGGTTGAATAACCAATCTTAAGATTTGGAGGCAAGCTCTATTCTCGATACCCAGACAATTTTTGTTTATTAAACCCAAGTCATGAAACTGTGTTACCATTGACTAACTTTAATTCATCCAATTTATATGAACAATTTACAGCTGGAGTTACAGCATGAACAATTTAAAATTTGACTGAACACTCATATTTGAATGTATATTCAAAGTGTTTATAGTAAAACGATAAAACTTTACAGACTAACTTAATAATCATATATACATATTGAAATGTGACAGGGTTTTTTTATTTCCCGATTCTGAATCAACAACTTGATGGATTTTTGTGTCGAAAGAAAGATAGTTTTAAGAACTATATAGTTAATGTCGAAAGTATAAATTTAGTTCATTTTTAGCGAATTTTCCTATAGGGAAGTAGCTATTACCGTAGGTCTCATGGTAAGACCTAGGCCCGGGACCGATTTACTTTTTCATTTCGATGTCCCCAGAGGCCAAAAACCCCATTCGTTAAAATTTATATATATATGTCCATCCGCACGATAACTTGAGTAATTTTTGTCCGATTTTGATGAAATTTGGTTTAAAGGTGTAAGGCGGGATAAACTTGATTGAGTTCGCGAACCAGCATGATCGGACCATGGGAACGGGGTTTTACGGGGGGTTTTATGGGGTAAAAATTGGTTTTTCTCATTTTTGACCCCTAAAACACAAAATTTCCCAATTTATCTCTAGTTTTTATTATTGTTAAAAAAACAAATAATTTAGTATATCAAAGTGTTTTTGTACGGTTATTGGTAACGGAGAAAATTCAAAAAATTGTAAATGAAAAATTCCCATGTTATTCTTATGGAGAATATTGAAAATGTTGTAGTTTGTTTGTTTATGGACATATTTTGATCAAACTTGGCAAATTTATTTATTTTATACTAAGCTAATAATATTTTACTAAAACACACTGTATTAGTTTTAGTTTCCTTGTGGCAGCAAACCTAGGTAGGTACTCGTTAAACCTAATGTTATTTAAATAGATTTAATTGAAAATCATTCAGAGAAATGGAAATTCGCTTAGTCGGCAGGTTTGCTGCGGCGGGGGTATTTTTTTTTATTATTAAGTTTTAATTTTTTTAAGTTTTGCAACCAACGCTAACATTCTAGACTAGCTTTTGGTATAATAACATTTGCTTAACGTAACAGGCTGTAAACATTCAGTGTGACACAAATTCAGCATTTGGATAAAAATGTCATAATGTAGGGTTGACTTATTTATACTATGTGTATAAAGCAAGCTCAATTTGCTGTAGCTTGAGCCGGATTGTCGTGTACAGATAAAATCAGTGTCATCCGCAAATGTGGCAACTATAGTTTTTACACTTTCTGGTAGGTCCGATGTATAGAGAATATACAAGTATGGTCCAAGTACGCTTTCTGATTCTATAGGGTAAAGATCAGTTAAGTAATATTTATGTTTCATTTGAAAAGTTCTGTTGGTAAGATGATTTTAAAATAGGAAAAAAGTAGAGATAAGTAGACCAGATAATAAAGACCATAGATAAAACATACTCTCATCCTTATGGTTCAGCTGAAGACAATTTTATTGTTAGTTCTGTCTGGTGCACTGTAGAGGTTGTGAATTGTTTAAAATTTGTTTATTGTTTTTTTTTTTTTAATCTGAGTATTATTTTCTTTACCCATACTTGTGCTATTAATATGTTTGTACCATATTTAAGGGAGTCTAATTTTCTTTTATTGCAACCAATATAGTCTGTAACAGTGCATTTCTTGCTTTTTAGGGTACAGTTTTAATTTCATTAAATGTATTTGCAGGTATTTTATTTGGTCTCGATATACAAAGTAAGATGAGAAACGAAGATTTTGATCTTGGAGCTTCTATAACATTGAGGTAAATAAAAATAAATGTTTACAGTACTAAAATCAACCTAATAAATTGTATAGTTCATTAATATTGAATATAACAATACCAATATCGAATATCAATATCAATGAGTTCCTAAAGTTTGATCCCATCTAAGTTAAAATCAATCTGGATATTCTTGTGTTAAAGAAGGCTGAAAAGGGATTTTACCTTACCTAGTTGGCCACTAAGCAGGCTTTTAGCCTCGCCAACAGCTTTTCACCATCTTCCTCGGTCTTCCATAACATTCATTCTTCTCATGTCTTTTCGGACTTGGTCCCACCACTGAAATCTCAATCTGAAAAAGGGATGTTACAGATAGTTAATTAATTTATTTATATTTCTATAGCCCCTTATAGTAGTTTATTTACAGTGAGTTATGTTTGAGATTTAAATTGAAAATGTCTGGGTTCCAGGATTGCTCACTTGATAATTAAGAGAGCAGCTAGCCCGTGGCTGTGGCTAGATTGCTTTTTCAACTACTTCTACAAAAGTGAGTTGGAAGAATTGGACAAGATGTGGAGTCGGTTTACAAGTCAACTGATGAAAGTAATTGGTACACTAAACTTTTGCAATAGTTATTTAGTTAGGTAAATTTTAAAAAATCTAAATATACAAATTTTGAAATTGTAATTTGGTACCGTGTTTTTTTTTTATCTACAGGATCTAATAAAGTAAAATAAATAGACTCCTAAGTGCTTATAGTCATACAGTAGACCCCCTCTTAACTGACCCTAATGGGACCGGACCTAGGTCGGATAATTCAAAAGGTCGGATGAAACGGACAATCCCTAAAATCATAACATAATGAAGTGCTATTCATTTGGAATTATAGGATCATTATTTTGAAATCATACTTGCATTATTTATAAAATTAACTACTCTTATCTCCTTTTTCGTATTGATAGAAAAGTCACAAATAAACACAAAACACGGTTAAGTCAAATAGGCCTACTTTCAGTGGAAAATATTATAATACTAGGCAAGAGTCAATAAAATTCCTATTTTAATAACTTTAGTACTGTAATTTATTGATTGATGCTTTCCAAATCCATCGTAATACAGTACAGAACCTTTTGTCAACATTAAAGTTACAATCAACCATTTTGTTACAAGACATGACGTTTATTTATAGCCTCTCACTGGAGGCTGAGGCACAAAAACTATCTTGACCTTGGAGTTGTTAACCCCGTTTCCCAGCCCTCCCTACAAGTTGCGTTGTTTGTTTACTCCAGCTATAAGATAATCAGTTCTCAAAATCGTAACGCACTTTATGATGTTATAAATTTGCCGCACAGATAACAAACAGATCAGATGAGCTCGAGCTACAAACGATGATGACAAACTGACAATAGGCTATGCTATATTTTTTGTGATCAACACAAAATAACTTATTCTTAGACATATCCTGTGGAGATAAGCGTATGGTTCAGTTCTCATCGCCCAGCGTGGGAGCGGAAATGCCGAGATTCCTAGAAGTTAAACCGAGCTGCTCTCAAAGCAAGGTCGGTTAAAACAAACTGTATTATTTTACGATTGAAGGCGGATAATCCGATTATCGGTTAATACGAGGTCGGTTAAGAGGGGGTCTACTGTACATGGTTCAGTCTTTGGATAGTTTGGAAGCAGAATGAATGTGCTTCAAGCATTTTCAAACGAAAATTCCCTTGTCTATTTGCAAGAAATCACATTCACTATTGTTGTACACTTGCATTGATTGCACAAGCCATGATCGATTTGGTTAGGATCATAAATCACATGACCATATCACCAATGTGTGCATCAAAGTATTCCACAGTATCACTGTTTGTTCGGTACAGATTTTATTAATTATACCTTTAGTACTTACACACACATACAGTAGTAGTATTGTACAAACCTATTTTTATCTGGTCCCAGATATCTGACTTAGAGTTACTGTATTTATATTTTTGGTTTCCTATTTGATCTCCTTACCTGAGTAAAAAAACATTGGGGAAAATATCAAAACCTAGCTTACAGTAGAGGAAGAATATAACTTAACTAGGAAGTATCAGCTTCAACTTTGAGAACAAAATTGTTCATGTCACCAGATGATTTCAGAAAACGGAGAGCTTATGACGGTACCAGAAGCATACAGCAACATCATGAAAGAGCACAACACATTCTCTGAGGAAGACTTGCATGCTGAAATGAAGACAGTGCTGATAGCTGTAAGTTTCTGTTATGATTGTACATAAGAGATTCAGTACAAGTATTTAAGATTTAAGGCCCTGTACACATGAGGGCGGCAGCCGCCGTGGTTGCTATTGCGCGGGAACCGCGTTGGTTGAAAGTACAAAGGAGCAAATGGGACCGCTCACATGCAACCACCCACTTCCAGTCAACCGCAACAAACCGCGGCAGTCGTAGATTTCCCTTTGACCACCGCGGCTGCCACGCGGTTGGAGTTACTTCAGTTGGCATGAGATCGTACATTTCGTACACATGAGGGCGGTAGGCGCCACGGTTGAGTTGCGGTTGGTACTAGGATCACACAGTCACACGCATCTGCGTGCTTGCCCTGTGGATATCGCCTGTGTGTTCGCTGCCACGGCTGCCGGAGCATACGGTCCTATGCGGCCTCATGTGTACAGGGCCAAAGAGCTAGTACCTTTATAAACTGGTATAAGACTTGTAAAATGCTTAAGAATCCTGATGAGCATTAATAATCAACTTAATTCTACTTGATTTCATACCTGAATTATTTAAGGTGTGTTCCTTCTTTTGATATTAAGTTTTCACGCATGCATTTAACTGGAGCCAGCTGTCCCTGGCCTTAATCCTTACTAATATAACAGCTGATCTTAATCAGTAACAAAGCTATACAGATCATCACACTCCATTCTACAATCATCCTTAACTCATATTTGGGTTAAAATACGCACAGAGGTGGCGTCCCCATCTCAATTGATGATGACAATCAGGTCACAGCAAATAATTGATTTAATTGACCAATTATATTGCAAATAAAATATGTTGTCAATCAGGGCCGATTTACCGAATAGGCACGGTAGGCACGTGCCTAGGGCGCGAGGCAATTGGCTTTTTTTGGGGGCGCCAAAAATTTGGAAATTAAAAAAAAATTGTGGTAGTATTTGCATGCTATCGCGGTAAACTTCTGATAACCCCTCGCGGCCGTGTAGGCATCGTAATCGTCTCCCGCGTTTGCGGCAAGATTCTTACTTTTTTCTGCAGTCAGGTCGTTTGGACATAAAATTGTCTTCCATGATCGAGGCAATATATGAACATATCCCACGATCGTGAGGAGATTATCATCGTCTACCGCAAATGAGGCAAAATTCTGATATTTTCCCGCGGTCGTGAGAACATTATCCTCGTCTTGCGCGATCCCGGTCAAATTCTGACACCCCTCGCGGCCGTGGAGACATCTTATCGTCCCCCGCAGTGGTGTGGACATAGTAAATAGTAATCGCCTCCCGCAATTGTGGCAAAATGGTAATCATCTCCCGCGGACATATGGAGATAATCGTCTTCGGCGAATGAGGCAAAATTCTTATCTTTTCCTGCGGTCATTTGGACATTATTATCGTCTTAAACGATCGCGGCATTATTGTATTCTGCGGTTCTGTAGACATCGTAATCGTTTCCCGCAGTTGTGAAGACATCGTTATCGTCTCCCGCGATTGCGGTAAAATGTTAATAATGTCTTCCAGTCGTGTGGAGATCATCATCGTCTTCTACGATCGCGGCAAAATTCTTGCTGTTTCCCGTGGTCGTGTCGACATTAAATCGGTTGAAATACAAAATTCACGGTTCAAAAATCTATATCTATAAATAAAAAATATATTGCAAAGGGGCGCTACTATTAGATGTGCCTAGGGCGCTGACAGGTTCAAAAATGGGCCTGTTGTCAATATCATCCTTTATTTTGAAGCAATTATTATTATGTTCCAGGGAAGTGACACAACAGCCATTGGTGTCAGTTCATGTCTACTGCTGCTAGGAACCCATCCTGAAATCCAGGTAGACTGTACTTACTGAACCCCCCCTTACTAAAATTACTGTATTGAACTTATTTTTGAGCTCTAACTCGACTCAATATACGTTGTAAAAAAACCAACAAAACCAAACTGCCACTTACAGTCATCATCTAAGTAGATATGCTACTATCTTATTGGAAGTTGTTTATGGAGGGGTAGTTTTAGCGAGCTACTTAAAAGAATAGGGGGTTCGGAGCCCCCCAAAAAATTTGGTATATTAAAGGTGCTAAAATGCAGTTTATAACACCTCTGAAGGTTCTAAATTAGAAAACAGTCTCGGTGTAATACCATTTGTAATACATTTGACTGTTCAGAAATATTTATAAACAAGTTACCAAAACAATATTACTATTCAACTTTTATAAATTGTGAAATTGTTTAGGTACTATATTTATCTATACATTCTTAAAGTAGTTCAAGAAAGAAGTAATATACCGGGTGTTCAAAAAGTCCCTGATACCCCCAAGTTACCAAATATTATTTTATTGTTTTGTTCATGTTTTAACAACATTTTTTGTATTCAGGAAAAACTCTACAATGAAATTTCGAGTGTAATAGGCTCAGAAGATCAAGAAGTGACACCTGAAGATCTTAACTCTCTACCGTATTTCGATCAAGTTCTGAAAGAAAGCTTACGATTATCACCTGTAGTCCTTTGTTTTAAAAGGACATTGAGTGATGATTTAAAATTAAGTATGTTTAGTTACAGTTATACAGTATTGCAGTTTAATTAAGTTAAGTCTCATTATATGCGCACATTTGCAAAGCAATCCTTTAAGTCAGGCTCAAAAAGAACTTATTTAGTTTCCAATTTGTTATAAAAAATATTGTTTTCCAAACACGGAGAAAGTAATAAAAATAAATAATATTGTAAGTAGAAAAATATTTTTTTTTTAACACGGAGAAGTAAAAGGTACAGAGGAAACATTAAATGATACACTTAAGTATGGCGTCTGGCACTTTACTTTTTTCACAAAATTGTATGCAGTTTTACGGGAAGAAATCTAGCCCCTCCACCTGATTCTACTATTACAACGACAGCTCAACAGTTGAGGTTTACCAAAATGTCAATTACCAGCAACATAGGCTTGCATAAAGCAAAAAGGGTTGTGGAGGCACTTCCCCACAACCTGCATAGTTTTGTCAACAGACTATAGTGTTGATTTCTATGGGAAAGTCCTACACCCCCCACGTCACCCTCACGTCATGTACTACAACGCTCATGGTAGACAAAGACCCTTTGCCCTGTGGGATAGGAATTTATAGCAATTTAATATTTCAAAGTTCTGTTTGATACATGCCTTTTCTGTTATCAAACGGAATTACTCGAATTAAAATTACAATTACATAGCATCACAATGCTAGGGAGGTAGTATTCCAGTCGTGGACACAGCTCCCATATTGATAAGTTGGCAAATTTCGTGACATCACGTTTCATCTGGGGGGGGGGGGGGGGTTTCCAGGAGGGTAGTATTCCGCATCCCCTGTTTCCTCTGTACCTTACCTCTCTGTGGTCTTACTGATTAATTTAGAAAATACTGAAAATGTTTAGTATCCCATGATAAAGTAATCTCCTAAGATATCTGAGTTAGGGTTACTGTTTTATATTTTTGGTTTCCTATTTGATCTCCTTACCTGAGTAAAAAAACATTGGGGAAAATATCAAAACCTAGCTTACAGTAGCGGAAGAATATAACTTAACTAGGAAGTATCAGCTTCAAATTTGAGAACAAAATAACTTTAACATCAAACTTGATGTTTTTATTTACTAACAAAACCAACAACATGTTTATTATTTTTAATAGGTGAATATACAGTGCCCAAGGGTGCCAGTTTGGTAACCAGTGTTATAGGACTTCATTTTGACCCTGAGGTTTACCCAGATCCTTATGAGTTCAAACCAGAACGGTTCACTCCAGAAAACTCTGCAAAAAGACATCCATATTCATTCCTACCATTCAGTGGTGGTCCACGAAACTGTATTGGTAAGTTAAAATGAAAAATATGTGGTTTGGATTCCACTATAAACGGTATGTCCCAGAGTTGCCATTAGCTGTATGGGCTATTAATTAACAGCTGTGTCTAAGGAGACAGTTGGCCTTAGTCACTAATAAGACTACAAGATTGCGCCACTCATCCTACACTCATCTCCATTCATACTTGGCTTAAAATACCTACTTTGTATGGTCGTCATTTCAATTAAAAGTATCAAAAGTATAAACAAACAAAAAAATTAGTAGGGCCTAAGCCTCTAAAAAGGTGATGTGATCCTTTCATGATGCTATTTTCTGTTTCCCGCTTAGTTTTTGTTGCTGTGAGAGTTTAAGTAACGTTAACGGTATATAGTTTACATTGACGAGTTGGGTATCGTTTCAGTTTCGCCATGTACAATGTTGGTGTATTTGACACAAATCAGGAATGGACAGCATCTATTGTCGGTGGCTTAATTCAGCTCTACGTCAGTTTTTATAAACCTTACTTTACAGCATTTACTTAGGAACGGGATATCGACTTTTGCAGCAATGTTTTAATTACTTACAACAAGATTAAACATTGTGATTTTTTTTTTCAGGCAAGCAGTATGCCATGACCTCTATGAAAATCATGTTGGCATATATACTGAGAAGATACAAGATTCACGCCACTGATAACATTCTAAATCTAAGATATGTTTTTGTAATATCACTCTTATCCATTGATGGCTACAAAATAAGTTTGCAGAGAAGAAATAAATGAAAACATAACTTTAAAACTACTTTAGTCGACGCTTTTAATTAAATTAAAATAAAATTTTTCAATGTTTCTTTTATTCATTAAGGTCTTTATGCTAATCCTCTACTCGCATTTTATGTTAAAGTTGTACAAAGTAATAAGACTTCCATATTTCAAGCTTTATTCTTTCATCTTTTATTTTATGTTGATCGGCATCTAAATTTAAATGTACAGTATATGGCAGTTCACAATAAACAAGGAGAACCTGTGCAATTTTGCATAAAAATAAAATAACAATTTCTTTTTCTGTACACCAAAATAACCCTCTTTAACTGGTACCATGTTCAAGTACTGTACCACATTGCTTATTTTGAAGCAATATGCGTGCAGTGACAAAGAAAAGTGTTTTTTGCAGAAGTCATTGTTGTTAATATTTTTTAAGTTTTTACTTAATTGAATTATTTGATGATCCAGTGCTACACAATCATAAGAATATCACAGATGCACATTTTTGCAGCTACCGGATGGCAGTGTGTGCCATTGCCCAAGTTCAACCATAGACTTTTGGTTACTGATGAAGACTATACATATTAGACTTAGACTATATGTATATATACATATATATACATACATATTTATATATATTTATACATATATATAGTTAAATGTATATGTGTATATATGTATATATATGGTACATAGTAGTTAATGCTAGTATATTTTTGAAACTTTTTTTTAAAGAGAATGATATCAATGTATCAGCAAAATAAGTCAAAGATTTTAATCAATTAACAAAACAAAACCATATTTTTTTTTTTTTTTTTTAGTTATTATGTCAAAATTACAAGAATATGCAAGCCATAGACTAAAATACAAAAATATAAAATAGGTAGTTTTTAAATTACTCCTATTGTTTGGTTGTTTATACCAGGAAAGTCCGTTCTGATTCAAGAACGCTAGGCCTGAGACATCCATCCAAGGAATTTTGATAAATAACACTACCTCTTTGTAGTGCAAATAAATCTTAGGTTTTATCACAACTTTAAAACAAGGGAGTAATTGGCAGAGTGATTTATTTCGTAAACTGGTTCATGGTGTTAAGTATTTCCAGATAAATGGACCTACAGATGAAAGAGATTATGAAATGTTTAAATTATTAAATGGTTACAATTAACATAGACTTAGGTACCTAACGTCAATCCTCAAACCTCAGTAAGTTTGCCTCGCCAATATCAAGTCGCCACCTTTCTCTGATTTCCATCCATTCCGTCTCTGCTCTAAGCTTATGTCTCTTCGCATTGATAAATCAATAAAAATTTGTGACTGATAGACAAATTAATTTGGAGAGTTTGTTGGCAAATATTCTGGTACTGTATCTACAGTACTAATTTCTGGTACATTAAACTTTGAAGTACAAATAGGATTGTGTCTTAAGTATACCTTTTTTAGTTCAAGTATCAAGTAAGTATATCATGGCCAAGCTTTATGATTTAGTGAACTCAAAATTTTTATGTTGGTCTTAAATCTTAATAATGTTTGGAAAGAATAGAAACAAATTTGGTTTTCATAAATATGGTCTAACTTTATTATAGTAGTACATAAAGACAGCAAATAATACTTGAAATCGGTTTAAAATCTTTAAATACATAATCAAACACGATAATTTGTGTCTAATGATTTTGTACTGTAAAATTAAATGGCTGCAGCAATAAAAGTCATAAAAACATTCATGTATAGTCTAGAAAGTGTTACAATATGAACGATAAAAGTATTTAAACAGCTGTAAAATACTAAAAATTTTAAATTTTCCTTTACAATATGAGACAAGAATCTAATTACAACTAAATTTAACAATATAGTACACAAAAATTAAACACTATACAAAACAGCATCATTCACAACCACAACAAATGAAATCCATAATAAATAAATACAAAGTCTATGACTAGCAACTTATGTGCCTAAAGTAATACTGAATTTCTATATTATACAGTAACTTGGAAATGAAATTAAAGTATTACCAATGTCTCAAAACGCATCCCTACACATTTATCCTTGGTAAAACTTTATTAAAACACAAGATACAAGATTTTCCCTTAACCCATAAATGTGCAAGTCTTTGTACAAACTCATTAGACAAATTTAAGAATCAACTTCCCACATTGTTTAGACTTTCCATAGTACACAACATTTCTATTAATTTACAAATTCACATTTACACAAATAAACAAGACGACCCTTCACCTAAACTTGAATCCAGCCTAAAAAAATAAAACCTAACTTTCCACTCTCTTCTTCATAAATATGAGTTTAAAAGTTGTATTAAATTTAAAATTAGGTTTTTCTTATTTTAGACAAAGATAAGCCACAGAAAATATAGAAATCGGTTGATCCCATAGCAGCATAATTAAAGCTTTTTAAGTTTTTATCAATTGCTAGGTTGCCCACGGTAAAATTTGTATATAAAATTTTGCAAGCAATCTGCGATGGTAATATGCAAGTCAAGCTATGTTTCATAAGTCCTTTTGATTCAAGTATATTTCCATTTGGCACAAGACCGGCTAACCTTCCGATTCGGAAGGGAGTAAATCAATATCTTCCGACCAACTGAGATCCATTGCGGTGGTAGCAGCTGAGACACTGCCAGAATTGGAACCAGGCATGAGGTCATTCACCTTTTTTACAGTCAAATTTTGATGTTTCAAGTCTTTGATTTTGTGCTCAAAATATTTCCTCCTTCTCTCAATCAGTTCAGAGGCGCTCCCCGATAAGCTATCATCATCGGAACAGTACTTCTGGACCTCCTCGTCCGAATCTCGGGTCCCGGAGTCGTTGTCTGACGCTTCTTCCGATATCATCGCTTCCCCAGCAGATTCCTTGGGCAGGGAAGACACGAGTCCGTCCACTCTGTTTATCATGAGGATCTCTTCATTCTCTATGACTTTCTGTTCGTTTCGTCTAGTGTGAACGGACGCTTCTGATCCACCGCTGGAAGAAGATAGTTTAGGGGAAGCAAAATCTTCTCCGCCCATCACTTCCATTTTCTCTCTATTTATGTGACGTTCCAGGTCTAAAAAACTGAGTCTGTCTTCACCGATAGTTTCCACGACGATTAGATCTTCAATGTCGTCTAGTTGACTGCCTGTGCGAGACGGTGGGCTCGTACTATCTCTCCCGGGGGAGAACTCTCCGTCCCAATCTGCAGCCAACTTTCTCGGCACAGACACTTCAGACGAGTCAGAGTCGAAGGAGAAGGACCTTGTGCGCTGGGGCTTGTGTGAGCCGGATACGCAGGTGGTTGTCCGACTACGCTGCCGCTTGTGAGGATTGGGTAGGGTGCGCGAGTGGTGAGCAGGGGAAGGAGTGGCCGACTGTACCGCTCTCATGCTGTGAGCTCTGCGCACCAGACGTGTCGCAATGTTGTTGGGGCTCTCGTCCAATCCTAGATCCAACACCCATGACACAGAGTCACTCTTCTCTACGACCCCTTTCACCTTGGGAGACTGCGGTGGGGAATCGTCATTGCTGGTGCTTCCCTTGACTCCATTTCTGGAAAATATAAAATAATTATCAGTTTAAAGTAAATTCTGATAGCTGAAACCTTGCGTGAGGCTCGCAATGCCCTCTTCCACATTGAGAGAGACTATCCTTTAAATTAACTATATCCTGTGACTATATTTTACCGTACTATGACTGAGACTATATCCTTTACTTTTGAATAAGTAATTTTCTAAATCACTTTGAAGATGAGTTGTTTTGGAATCACATCTACATTTATATTTAAATTCTATAGGATAGTAAAAGCAAAAACGTTAAGTCAGAGAGCAATTATTACTTTCAACATACACTTTTATTTCCAATTTGAACTCACAACAATACAATAATGAGCATTTAAATCATAACTGAATCTTAGCAATGAAACAACAACTGCAAAGACTAAAAAGTATAAAATATTTAACAGATTATTCAAATTATTACACTAGCTGTATATAATAAACTGACAACTTCTAACAAGTAGGTTGGCCAATTTTATAAGGATACATTTGGATAATTTCTGTATGAAAACAGTATAAATATAACTCACCAATTGACACACTTATTTACAGATGCAGTTAAAGATAATTATTAGTTATAAACCAGTGAATAGATGTGTGTTAACTTACAAACGGTCCGGAAGTTCTAAATTTTGTATATGTTGTCTAGGACGGTAAGTAGGTGTTTGAAATGCAAAATACACAATTTTCCCCCTCCACCATTTTGAATAAATAAAAAAAAATACCACTTTCTTGAGATAATCGCATATATCTCAGTATGTCTTGGTACGTTTTAGTGAAAAAGAAGATTTAGTCAATGCTATAGACAATTAAATTTCCTATAATTACGTTTAATAAGTTTCTACGACTTATGGCTAAGAAAATATTAACTTAATCAAAAGGGGAAAAAATAAAGTTATTCCGATTTTTTTTATATATACGCTATGTGGACTTTCAAATAACGGCTAATTTGAATTTGTATTTCTAACCATGATTAAAAATGGCTCATAAATATTAGCGACAGTTTTCTACGTGGTTCGTGATATTATTTAACACAGGCTTAAAACTCATGCCAGAGCGGAAAGCTAACCCGGTAGATGCAAAAATCTCAAGAAAGTGCCGATTTTTTCAATATGGTGGCGGGCGCAGAGGGGGGGAGTTGTGTATTTTGCATTTTAAACACCTACTTACCATCCTAGACAACATATAACAAATTTAGAACTACCGGACCGTTTGTAAGTTAACCCCCCTATTTTTGTCTCTATAACTATAAAACCCCTAAAAAAATTGCATAACGTTCACTTATTACTTTTAATACATACCAGTACAAAAATATTTAGTTTTTAATTAGTTTTTTATTACAGTGTTAGCAAAACGGGAGTGCCGATGAAGACCAGGTCAAGTCCCTTCAAACGCACGCACCCCCACAGGTCTCCATCGGCACTCCCGTTTTGCTAACACTATACTTCTATTACAAAAGCAGTCAAATTTAATGTATGTAGAACTTTTAAAATGCATACCAATATTTTAACCCACCTGTAATGAGATTCTTG